TCATCAAACAGATTTACAATAAAAAAATTCTAAGGTCAAAGCACATTCATGTGTTACAATGGCCCAAACAAATCATTGTAAACTTTTAGAATTCTTTTTCCTATTTAATGTAATGTTTTACATGTTTTCCTTTGATTTTAGCTTCTGTAAAGCAACTGTCCTTGTTTTGTACTTAATAATCATAATATATCATAATATCTTGTGGAGTGTGCGGCTAAAAAAGGGAGGAAACAAAGATGCCACTTAAAATTGCCAGCTAGATTAGGAGTAAAAAAGCACAGCCAGCGTCTAAAGAAACACTTTAAAATCCATTAAAAAAAGCAAAAATAAAAAGTGAAGACAGATAGCACAAGATATTTGCTGGATTATTTTATATGTTTATATTTTTGCAATGAAAAAATCCGCTTCTAAACAGTTTAACCGTTTTTACAGCAACTCTACAGTGCAAACATACACTATCATACTCAGCTGGATAGAGGAATGGTGTTTCCTGTTTATATGGCTGCCATCCTGTGAAATGAGAGTGGGAAGAAGGATGGAGACAGAGAGGCCTGAAACTGAAGGTTACAGTGTGGGGGAGGTTGAAAACAGAGCTCATCTCTGCTCTCATTTTCTCAGCATACAGGCCTGCATAGTCTGAAATATTGATGAATCGGCCCACTGTGTGTCCGTGTATGAGTACAGATGAAGTCAGTGTGGGGCATTTTTCATTGTAGCAAAAAGCAGAACTGCTGGAATCACTGCATGTTGATATGAATTATTAAGATTTACAAAGCATGCACACATAGACAGTTAGTTATACAATGTTAGACTCAATATTTTTTTTATTTTTTCATGAATTATCACATGGTTTCCACATATTTCCATGTTTGCATGTTAGGGAAACTAAGAGGAAGTGGTTGAGTATCTTCAGCAGATTGCATTTTTCACCAGATCTCTTGCATTTGTTTGTGAGCAGTTGTCTTACCCTGAGCAACATAAATGAGATTTGAGGCTTTAAGCTGCAGCTGCTTAAGTGGTTCTGCATCGATCAGGATGAATAAGAGATTCTGGGAGACATCCATATTTGCTTTTTTCTCTCTCCTTTCATACCTGCTCCTTCTCTGTTCCTTTTTTCCTTTCTGCCATCTGTATAAGAGACCTGTTGTCGTCACATGATATTTATAGCCTGACCACTCCAGGCGGGATCCAACATCCTTGGGATTGGCTGGCTTGATGCGGATGAGCCAGTTCTGTATGCATCACTTCCCATTCTCTTTACTTTCCCCTGTCAGGAAACGGATCAGTTACAGCTGAAAGGTTTTTCATTGTGGACTTAGGCGCAGATTATGTGTCCACAAACAAGCTTCTGCATGCACAGACTTCGTTATCAGTTCTTCGTCCTGGAATTAAAATTTTCTACAGTTTTAAGAGTTGATCAAATTAATGGGACTAATAAAATAAAGAATATTTTATGATTTCTAAAGCTATCAAACCACCAGTCCTAATAAAAGAAAAGGAACAAATTTCAAACATAAAAACAGCAAAATGAAGGTGAACAGAATTTTAATTAGAAGTCCTGATGAGCTATTATAGGTTTTGTCACCTTTCTTTATAAGAGGATTTTAGTATATTAACTGTTTTTGTGGCTTTTTTTTGTCAATATAGCCTTAAACTATTTTTTTGTAATTGTTATCGACTCTTCTGTCTTTGTTGATCCTTGTTTTTGAAGCCTTTCCCCTCTGCTGGATTCTTCCTTCTCACATTCAATGCTTGCACCCTCATTGTTCTATTTTAATTGGATGTTACTGCAAACAAAGCTTTCTACAGTGCAAAAATGTGATTTGCATTATGACAGTGTTGCATGACCCCAGTGAAGATCACACAGTGGATCTTTTCTTCCATGAATGAAGCTCAAATCTGAAACTATGCACCTTCTCAAGTGCTGACTTACAGAATATTCCCCGCCTGCATATGAGGAATGTGGCTGGGTTGTTAGGAACATTAAAGGAACATAGGAAGCAAAAACTAGGGGGAAATCCCTGCCATAATTCAGGCCTCTAATGACGCTTAAAGAATATGTAGGAACACAAAGAGTGTCACACACACTGAACACAAAGACAGCTTGAAACAAAGAGGCTTTCTGTGTTGCCTCCTTCCTGAATGACATCACTGTACTCAGCTGCAGTTTATTTGTGCTTTTCTGTTTTGATTTTAAAAGGACAATGTATGTATGTGTAAGTTAAGAGGAAAGTAGCAGCAGCAAACATCAGAAACTCTGTGTCTTTCTGTTTTTAGTTCTGGAAGAAGCAGGGACCAAATGTCCATCGCCTTTGCCATATTTTGCTCTTAATTTTCTTCCTATTCTATTTTATTTCAACTTATTGAGTATCCAATTTCTGAGTTCTTACTCTTCCCAATTTCACCCTTCAGCAACAACATGTAACTATATCTAATTTGGGGAGAATTAGCTGCAGGGTTTGAGCTCAGCAGGTGTTTAATTGCTGTGGAGATGATTTAATCAGAAGCTTGAATCCTTTTTTCTTATTTTCACAAATTCAAAGTAAAACTGTTTTTTCCCCCCAGCGATACAGCATCCTATATAAATATCCCGGCCACTTGAAGGTATTTACCTTTTGATGAGTTACATCCAAACTGGCTAGGATGGATGTTTTCAAATAGAAATCTGCAGCATGTATTTGTTATCCACCTCATTTATTCTAAAACACCAATTTAACATCTTACTGATTGTCTTTATCCAATGGTTTAATAATCTATCTGCTCATCCAATAAGTGAAATAATCTCTACTGTTCTGTGAGGTTTGTTTTTATTATACATTAGTGAACAAACAGCATTAAAAGTAGGGCTGCAACTCACTATTTTTCTACTTGATTAATCTTCCAATTCCTTAATTTATCAATCTATGGATAATCGGATGGCAGAAGATTTTACACAGAATTTAAACCATGTGAAACTAAAACGATGCCTTTTGTGAATTTCTGGATAGAGTATATAATGGAAAAAAAAACTGTTTTTCTTCTTAAACACAAAATGTTTATCTATTTTTCACACTTTTGGTACAATACCAGCTTTGGGTGTGTTTCTCTTTCAGCTAAGCATCCTTTAGAGGCTCTATACTCAACAATTGATCTATTATTAAATTAGTTGACGAGTATCTCAATATCTGATTAATAACAAGTGATCTGAATAATTGTTTCAGTCCTATTTAAAAGACAGAAATGAAGTTATGGAGAAGTTTAAAGCAGGTTTTGGTTAAAAAACACAATATTCTAGGCTTTTAACACCTCGTGAAACTCAGTTCAATCCATCATCTAAACATAAAAGCCCAAGGCACAGCTATTAACATGCTAACATATGACTGTTTATTTAAACTGACAAGCCAAGAAAGAGGTTCAATCAAAGAGGCAGCAAAGATGTCTATAGTAACTCTGGAGGAGGGTATGCAGAGATCCATAACTTTGGCAGGAGAAAGTAGAACAACAGCTTTTAGTTTAACATACTGGAAATCTGATCTGAATGAAAGACCTGCAAGAGAGCTTCCATAATAATCAGAATTTGTAGGGGGGGTTGTGCTGCATCAAAGCGAAAACAGAGTTTTAATTGGCGTGATTCACAGATCTCAATTTCGATTTCAGAGGGTAAAATGAAAAAAGATTAAAGAAACACACACTTAGTCGAAGGAAAAGCAGTACATTCTGATCTTACAGGAAAAAATAGAATACACAGGGAATAAAATGCAAGAAAAAAAAACGAAGAAAAAAAAATGCACAAAGTATCCTATGGGGAGGTGATGACAAAAACAAGCTCAAGTAAATAAAATAGAACCACCAACGTATTATCATTCTTGAAGGAATTCAGTTTAGCAGGTGCAGGAAAGTTGGCTGAGTTAATTAACAGGTGAAGATAATTACAGAGTAAAAGTAGAAAAACTGTAAGAGGCTGCAGAAACGGAGACTAAACAATGCACATTCTGCTTCTTCTTTAAAAATCATACAAAACCCCATTGTTGGTTTATAAAATAAAAATACCAGAGAATGCATTTAGGTCGTGACAAAAAGCTAATAAATGTTCAAGAGGTATGAATCATTTTGCACGGCATATTTTACTGTTGCTTATTCAGACCCACTTCTAAAGCACGTCTACCGCCTGCAGCTCTTAGCTTGAGCAGAGCTCAGCTTGTTCTGTTTTGTCGTCGTAATGATGTTGAGCTGACAGCTCGCAGATCCATCAGCAGAGCGGTTTTGCTGATGGCAGCTTCAAGCTCTCACAAGGACGCAAATGTTAAACATCTACATGAACTCAGTTTGACCTCAAAGAGACTGAAAGGCCTTTTCAGGCTCTTTTATAATTGTATTGTCGTTTAAATTACTGCTAGAGTTTGGATTTAGTTAAACATTAATGATTAAAATAAAAGCAAATAATCGATTTTAGAGATAAGAATTCTTTTTTTTCTCATTAATTCCTGATTTTTTTGAACACAGCCTATTATCAGCCTTTAACTGGATTTAATTTGTTTGGATAATTTCTTTTATTGGGTAGATTATCTTATTGCTTTTTTATTTTTAATGGTTTAAGTATAGTAGTTCTATTGATGTTTCTATAAGCGATAATTAGCACTATATTATAATATGCAAAAATAAATATTTGGGATTTCTTTTTCAGATTTGGACTATAGTGAATTTTGTAATCAATTAATCACCAAAAATAAAATAAAAATGTTTCGTAATCTATAATACCTTTTTTTTTTTTTCTTAAAACTATTAATTTTATTAATAGATACATACAGTTTATCTTTTAACATCTTGTATTCTTTGTTAGATAAATATAATACTTTTAAAATGTATTTTATAGTAAAATACCTGCAAATAGCCATTTATCTTTATTTCACCATATCATATTAAAACTCTTCGCCTTATATTAGACAAGTATGTTACTTAACAAAGTCCATTTATACATAAAGTTTACCCTAAATTGTTTTACATGTTGTTTAACTTTTCAGGCAATGGAAAGCAAGCTGCTTGTTGGAGGGAAGAACATAATAGATCACACCAATGAGCAACAGAAGATTCTAGAGATGAAAAGGCAGGAGATCGCTGAGCAGGTACGCCGCTATTTGTTGTTTTATTTTATTTTCAGATAGTTTGTTTCATGCTGCATATTTAAGAAATGTATTTACTTGTAAATACAGCTTAAACATTCAAGTCAAAGATTGCTTATCTGCTTTCAGACACGCAGAGAGAGAGAGATGCAGCAGCAGATGTTGATCCAGGATGAGGAGACAGTGGAGCTGAGGGAAACTTTCACGTCTCTTCAACAAGAGGTCGAGGTTAAGACAAAGAAACTCAAGAAGGTAATCATCAGTGCAACCTAGTTTTTATTCAAAATGACCAAGGCCTGATGTAAAATGATGTTACCTTTAGATGTTTCCTGCCATCCTGCTTCTTCTTTTTCTCTTGTCTTCAATGTCTTAGATCATACTTTTTCAATCTTTCGGTCACTTATAGGCAGTAAATGATTAAATAACTCTTTTAGACTATGATGGTATTAATTTGTCATGAGTTATATAATTTTTTTCCTCCAACACTTACCTTCAAAGCGAAGCCGCCTCCCACCACTTTAGTACCACAGATTCACTGAAGTCGCCATATCAAGCGACTTTCAAAGGTTTAGCAAAGTCAGAGACCTGAGGCCAAACAACTGATCTTCACAAGTTTGACACTAGCTAAAAAAGTGAAAGTAGTCTATTATCGCCTCATTAGATTCTCACAGATAGATAAAAAGGTATAATATTCAGTGCAGCAGCCATGTTTACTCTGAGACAAATTTACATTTAGTATATGTCTACTTAAAGTTCTTGATTAATACGTTGAATCACAGTTGAAAAGGATGGATGGATGGATGGATGGATGGATGGATGGATGGATGGATGGATG